ATCTTACCTCATTACTGCCACTGTCAGGGGCCTAAAATCCACAAAGCAAGAATGAGATGCTATAAAACATTTCGGTCTGACAGTTATTCTACTTTAAACTGACAGAAAATGATAAACAAGAACTCACAGGGGCAGCTAGTGAAGAGCCCAGCAAACACATCAACAGCGCCACAGCTTTCATATTGCTCTTATGATCCACAGAAAGAAAAATAAACACAAGCTTCTTACTGGTGAACCATTCAATTCTGACAGCAACTTTTTTCCAAAAATATTAAGCTTACCTCTTCGGGAGGTCCCTAGTACAGCTGGTTGACTTCTCTGAGATTAAAGAGGAATGAACAAGCACTGGAAAAGACTGCTATATATACTTGGCAGATCCCAAAAGAGGCCAATCATCTCCCAGGAACGAGCGAAATCTATTTTTTGCCCTTATTCTTAAAACAAGGTTGGAATTACAACTGTTAATGAGCCATTATGTGTAATTATAGATGTGAAATTCTGCTTGGTGCACAGTTCTTCAAAAAGACAGACGAAAAAATGAAATTGTCTAGCAGACAGGAGGGTTTGTCTGTCTGTGGTGTTTGATGAAGTTTGCATGGGTATGACGTTCAGGGGACCCGTGACAGTGCGGGACTTGTGGGCGCCTGCCAAATTGATCAACCTAATTAAAACAGATCTTCACAATGGAGGCTCAATCACACATTCTTCTGCATCTTCTTAATTATAGACGTTATGCATGGCTTTCTTGCTGATTCATTTTGGAGATGTGTAAATCTTTTTGGCTTCTTGTTGTTGTGACCACACTGACATCTTTTTTAGTGTTGTTGTCGTCTGTGCTTTTTACTAAGCAGTTTGGAGCTTTACGAGGGTTGGTGTGCTTTGTGCTTTAGGGAATCCTGATCCAGGATGCCTTCTATCTGATAACATAAAACGAAAAGTGAGCATAAAAGGTTTATAGATACCCTCCTGCGGTGCTTAAAATAGTCAGGCAGGGGAGAACATATAATCTGGATCCCCTTCAGTCATTCTTGCAGACAAGACATTTATTTTTACAGGGTCAGGTTTTTTTTTTTTAGAGTTGTCCTTTGAACTCTTGTAAGTAATGTTTTTTTTTTAGCATCAGGTTTCAATGGTTACAGCTTTTTATAGATTGTTTACTTGTTTTATCATATTTTAAACTTCTATTAATAGATTCCAAAAAGGCCGATCTATTTTAAGTACAATAAATATATGTTTTAAAACAATACACATTTAAATACATCTTTTTTAAGGATATAACAACTTGGATGTATGTGGAAATAACTCTACTTTATGGATGGCATGTTGGCTTAGTTGTTAGCACTGTTGCCTCACAGCATTAAGGTTGCTGGTTTGAGTCCCAACTAAACTATTTGGCATTTCTGTGTGGAGTTTGCATGTTCTCCCTGTGTTCGCGTGGGTTTCCTCCGGGTGCTCTGGTTTCCTCCACAGCCAAAGACTTGCATCAAAGGTGAATTGAAAAAACTAAATTGTTCGTAATGTATAACTGTGTGTGAATGAGTGTGTATGGGTGTTTCCCAATACTGGGTTGCAGCTAGTAGGACATCTACTGCATAAAACATATATTGGAATATATGGCGGTTCATTCCATCGTGGTGATCTTGGAAATAGAGACTAAGCCAAAGAAAGATTAATAAATGAATAATCTCTAGTTTATCTAACCAAATAACATTAATAAACAATAATAATAATAATAATAATAAAATAATAATAATTCTGAGAAATTATGAATTATTATGATGCGGTGGTGCAGTAGATAGTGCTGCCCCCTCACAGCAAGAAGGTCCCTGGTTCGAGCCTCGGCTGGGTCAGTTGGCATTTCTGTGTGGAGTTTGCATGTTCTCCCATTGTTTGTGTGGGTTTCCTCCGGGTGCAGTTTTCCTCACAGTCCAAAGACACATGGTACAGGTGAATTGGGTAGGCTAAATTGTCCGTAGTGTATGTGTTTGAATGAGTGTGTATGGATGTTTCCCAGAGATCAGCTGCATACATATGCTTGGTAAGTTGGCGGTTCATTCCGCTGTGGTGACCCCAGATTAATAAAGGGACTGAGCCAAAAATAAAATGAATAAATGAATGAAAATTTAATGCTCATTATTGCTAAATATTTCACTGTAAAAACTACTGTTCAGTTTGGTAGAAATGGCTTACCATAGTACACTCAAAAAATGATGTTTGCTGTTTGTTCAAACTACCTAATTAAAATGAGCTAAAAACATCACAATTCTTGAGGTTTTTTAGACAACTGAAATGTTTTATGTTACATTTTTTCATGTTGACTAAATTCCTTCATGTTTACTCAACACAAATCGATTGTGTTTTTTTACAGTATACATGATTTTGCTGCTTGTTCAAACTACTTACTGTATGTAAATTGAGCTGAAGCAACACAATTCTTGAGATTTTGGGGGACAACATAATTGTATGTTCAGTCCACTAAAATGTATAAACTTAATTGATTTGTGGTGGGGCAACTTGGATTAATTGTGTGGACCCCTGTAATTTTTACAGTGTATAGACAGCTATCAGGGTCAAAAATGTGTAAATCCTACACCAAATTTAATTGTATCAACACATCAACAAACCTAACCGTAACAGCAACAGAAATACTGTTTTGGAGACATTATTTACATCCCGGGGTGCCGCTCGCCAGTACGGGCCCCCTATGATAACATTTCAAGTGTGTTGCAGACAAAAGTACAGAAGGTGGGTATTGGTAAAGAGGATAGTGGTTGTCGGGGACAAAACTGAAGAGCAGGGGTTGAAGGGGGGGTGTCAGGGACGAAACTAATAAAGCAGAGGGGGGGCGGGTGCTGTTAGTGAGGCCAACAGGGGGCGCTCAAACGATGTGTGAGTCTTAATGCCCCTGTATAGAGAAGGGAACACTATACTGTCAGTGAGCGCCATCTTTCAGATGAGACATTAAACCGAGGTTCTGACTCTCTGTGGTCATTAAAAATCCCATAGCACTTTTCATGACGAGTAGGGGTGTAACCCCGATGTCCTGGCCAAATTCCCTCCTTAGGCCCTTACACATCATGGCCTCCCGATCATCCTCATCCACCAAATTGGCTGTATCACTGTCTTTCCACTCCAACTATAGCTGGTATGAAGTGAGCACTCTGGCGCCGTTGTTCTGTGGCTGTCGTTGCATCAACCAAGTGGATGCTGCACACTGGTGTTGGTATGGAGAGAACCCCCACCTCACTCATGATTTTGAAACGCTTTGGGTCTATGGTCACGCATGACAAATGTATGTATGTATGTATGTATGTATGTATGTATGTACAATGTAATGGGATATAGATATAAAATGAGACATCATGTTAATTTGTCATGTTCATTGTCTTCTATAAACTTGCTTTCTTAGCAACATGGTCAAATCAGATGTGATTGTGTGCATACAGAGAAAACACATGCAGAATTGCATCCTTAATACAATAAACTTTTTGTAAGACTTTTAGCCCTAAACATTTTGAATATATCTGTTTTTTATGCTCATGTTGGCAAATACCCTCACAATGAAGTAACATATACTCCATTTGATGTGTGTGTGTGTGTGTGTGTGTGTGTGTGTGTGTGTGTGTGTGTGTGTGTGTGTGTGTGTGTGTGTGTGTGTGTGTGTGTGTGTGTGTGTGTGTGTGTGTGTGTGTGTGTGTGTGTGTGTGTGTGTGGAAACAGCTCCTAAAAATTCACAGTAAAAAGGCTTCCCATTCATTAATTTTCCTTCGGCTTAGTTCCTTTATTTATCAGGGGTCACCACAACCGTCAACCAATCCGGCATAAACACAGCGGATGCCCTTCCAGCTGCAACCCAGTATTGGGAAACACCCAAGCACACTCATTCACACACATACACTACAGCCAAATTCAACATCACACATTTTAATATATCCCAGTGCAAAAGCAAAAATATACAATAGTGAAACAGGACTGTGATAAAACCCTGTTTATAATAGCTGACTGCACATTTTACCTGAATATGAATTTGCCTTTGTATTATTCAACCGAATGTGTATTTGTACATTATCTTTAAACATTGCTCTGGGAACATATCTGATTAGATTCATCTAAATTTTTTGCATTTTGCACTTACATATAAACAGATATGGCATATACAAGATGTTGTGTGGATAACAATAATAACTCAAAGAGCTGCAAATGAGCAAATAAATCTGAAAAGTTGTAAATTGGCTAATGTTTCACCTCTGAAAAAAAATACATGTATGTGTAATTAAAACTGAATCAGAATTGCAGCGCTGATTAAACAGTGTTATAATAATTATCAGACTGAAAATCTCATTATTTGATGGGGCTCAGTGTGCCAGCAAATTTAAAAGAGTGAGCTGATTTCTACCATAATGTAGGTCTGACTATTATATTATAGAGACTATTCATTTATCATTCCTGATTTTCCATGTAAAAATTATTAAATTTTTAAGTTACTATTGAATGTCTCTGGGTTTTAATAGTATGAGCTGTAGTTTAATATACACACATGTCTTTTTTCATATGATATTAATTTATTAGTGGGGGTGGCACGGTGGCTAAGTGGGTAGCACTGTCGCCTCACTGCAAGAAGGTCGCTGGTTTGAGTTCCGGCTGGGTCAGTTGGCGTTTCTGTGTGGAGTTTGCATATTCTCCCCATGTTTGTGTAGGTTTCCTTGGTGTGCTTCCGTTTTCCCCACAGTGCAAAAACTTGTGGCATAGATGAATGGAATAAGCTAATATGTCCATAGTGTATGTGTGTAAATGGGAGTGTATGTTTCCCAGAACAGGGATTGTGGCTGGAAAGGCATCCGTGGCCTAAACCATATGCTGGATAAGTTGGTGGTTCATTCCGTTGTGGCGACCCCAGATTAATAAAGGGACTAAGTTGAAGGAAAATGAATGAATGAATTCAATATCTATTCAAAATTTCATAGCTTCAACCCCAATATTAAATAAAATAGCTCACTGTGTTTTTGTTTAATCAACTTTATTACACTAATCACAAAAGGACTACATGATACAGAACTGACATCTGAGATTGAAATAAGGTTTGATTGTTAAATTATCATTTTTAATTATCTTTACATCATGCAATTACAGAAGTTGTGTTATGGGTAGATCATCACCTTCATGTTAAAAATCAAAATCAGCTCAATGATTATTCCAGTAAAGGTTTTTACTAATTCTAAATAGCATCAGACAACAGCAATACAAGAAGAAAAAAAAATGTTCATTGCTCTTGCTGCTTGATGTCTTTTTCCTGCTTCCCAGATGAGTCTGCGGGCATAAGAAACGACAAGTTTAACAACAATAAAAGACACAGATGTGCTAAAACGCTTCAACTAATGTGCTCATAAATCATGATTTATGAATTAAAATTAGACGCAATATCTCACCGATCTTCATGGTCTGGTAGACACCTGAAGAAAAAATTTTTTAGACAATTAAGACAATTGTGTTACATGCACATAATCAGCCATTCCTGAAAAACTGCTGCTGACACACAACATTCACAAGTTCTCATTTTGGTTGAACACATCCTGGCTGAACGCAGAGCTGAAGGAGTAATTATGTTGTCACAACGGAGTTTTGCTGAGGGTTGTGTTTTGAGCTTCACACACACAGACACACACATATACACACACCTGTCCTGTCTGAGCCTGTTGCTGCTGCTGCTGCTGCTGTTGCTCCGGCTGGGTTTGCTGCTGAGGCTCTTGGGTTTGTGGAGCACCATCCTGGAATGGTGGGTTCTGGGTAAAAAATAAATGTATAATAAATTTGAGAATTAAAGATTTAAATGCTTCATTAAATTTCATTTAACATATATAATTATGAAAACTAAGTATAATTGTCTCACCACAGGTGGCTGTTGAGGAACTGTCTGTGGCATCAAGTCAAAGGGGAAGATCTGCATATTTTAAATGTTAAACTTTTTAGACTCTTGTTTTTAAAATATTTATGTAAAAAAGTGAAATAATTTAAGGAATTTACATTTGGAAGCTGAGGTATGAGGGGGACATTTGGTTGATCCTGAAAGTAAAACAACAATTTGTATGGCCAAAAAAAACTACTTTTTGCAAGCATTAGCTAGTTGTGATATAAACTAATGAAAAGTAATGTTTGTTAGCATTAGCTTGTTATTGTTAACAGAAGAAAACATTCATTACCTGAGCTCTACCGAAGTCGTAGGGGTAAAACTACAATATGGAGAAGCAAAATCATAATTTTTATTGTGTCAAAGAATCTCACATGAGAAAATACTAAAGTAAATGTACTAGTGTTTTTATCCACACTATAGTAAAGTACTTGAATCAGTCTGTTAGGGCAATTCTACAGTTGTGATACAACAACTTATATGAACAAACTATCCATTACATTGACTGAACCATGTTACTTTGATGGTAATTGGCTAATAAAAAGACTTCAAATATGCAGAAAAATACTTTTCTGAAAGTATAATAAGTTCAAATGTGTGAATATAAAACCAACTTTGCCTCAATGTTGAAGCTACTACCCTTTACCCTTTATGGTTCAAAAACACTATAGTATTTATTAAAAAGCACTGTAGTATTTTGAATGTGGAATGTTTATCTCTGATATTTCAGAGCAACTCGGCGGATGTTTTATGAAAGCGCTTAAAGGATCTTTTCACTCACGATTTCAACGCTTTTTCTGCCGGGAGCTTTGGGGAGCGAGTACTTGATGAACGCTTGTGTGGGGAATGACTGAGGACAGAAAGAGAGACACAGTGAGTATGAATGCTAGTCATCATCTTCTAGTCTTTTGATACACATTTGCTGATTAAAATGATTTAACTGAGACTTCGCATTTTTTTAAAAAAAAGAAGCTAAAATGAGTTGAGGGAGTTAAGAAACACCACAGACTCACCGATGTTCCCGCTGCTCCTCCTGCTGGATTAGCAGGGAATCGCGGAGGGAAAATCTATGTGGAAATAAGTAAATGAATAGGTTAATAAATGATGATAATAACAATGCTCTTAAAAATATAAACACCTAAAAAAACTGACATTTTTGATAGTGTAAAATGTGCTTCATTTTATACCATCAAAACTTAACTTAAATAATTTAATTAGCTTAAACCCGCCTGAGCTGGTTGGCTTGTTTTAGCTGGTCGACCACCCTGGTTTTAGAGGGGGTTTGGTCATTTCCAGGCTGGTTTTCAGCCATTTTTAGCCTGATCTTAGCCGGTCAGGCTGGAAAATGACGAGCTAAAACCAGCTTGACCTGCCTGGTTTATGATGGACATAGCTGGTTTTGGCTGGGCTCCCAGTCTGGCTAGGCTGGTCAAGCTGGTTTTAGCTGGAAACCAGCCTGGAAATGACCAAAGCTTTTTTAAAACCAGGCTGGTCAACCAGCTAAAACAAACCAACAAACTTAGGCTGGTTTAAGCTCAGGGTTTTAGCAGGGTTCATTTAATTTAATTTGATTTAAACTAATGTAACTGAAAACATTAAGTTACACCAACACAATATTGTTTGTTTGCTTGTTTTTGTTTATGTCTAAATTGTGCTTTTTGTGGTATCATCTTACAATTAAAATTGTAGTTATACTTTTTAATTTTTTAATTTTTAATGATGTTTTTTATTTACATTCAATAAAAAAAAAATTCTTGCAAAGTAGTTACTAATTCTAAAGTGATGTGAACTGGCAACAGTTTCTGCTGTTTTGACATCAGCTGCAGATGTAAATGAATTGTGGTAGAAAGAAGTTCCTTGTACAAAAGGGTTTTTGAGAGTCTCCACGTTTGATTTTCTTTTTTATACACATGATTATGCCGTCGAACTGTTGTATAGATGCAATAACACATGAGAAGCAGTGCGATGTGTCTGTATATTGGCACTGGTGGGGGGTAAAAAGGCACTGCAGCTTCGAGCCAACACACACCTCCCACCAGTGGCGATATACAGCCATATCACACTGCTAATCGTTATATATATATATATATATATATATATATATATATATATATATATATATATATTCTTTTTTAAGCTATTTTTAGGATTTCTAAGTTTAGATAAAGCATACTAAGTAAATAAAACCCTAACAAGCTAATAAAGTATTTTGGTTAGAAGATCTAGATTAAGTAAAATACCCAGGATATTTTACAAGACATCTTGGCACCACATTGAACTGTTAAATGTAAGATATTTACAAACAACAAAAATAAACCATACGATTTCCATGCTGATCGGAGCATTCATAGCAGGATGTGGCTGTGATGGCATTCCCTGGAAGCCACCAGTATTCCCCTAAAAAAAAATCAAATGAAAGGAGGTTCAAATCCATTCTAGCATATGCCCAAAAAGCACATGCTTCCTTCACTTATAATTAGTGCATGGATTGTATGTTCTGTAGCAACCTCAGTACAGTCAGTTAAACCTATAAATCATATAAACACATGTCATGAAATGGTGTGTCATCATACAGCGTAATATTACTGAGCTATTTCCATCATGAATCTGAGTGCAATGTGTTGATTATGGTCAAAGCAAGAGATTTCTGAAGACTTTTATGCTGTTTTTGGATATGGAAAAGTCAAGAATGTTGAAGTGTGGTTGACCCCACCTGCCTCGGGCTGCCATAATGAGGGAGATAATTGAAAAACGGTGAAAGCTAGGGAGAGATATAAACATACACACGCATGAAAACTGATCCCAGACACATAAAACAAGCCTTAAAGCAAGACACTGCAGGTGAATAGTGTAAAAACATACAGTACTTCAAGTCAAGAGCTGCAAACATGTTTTATATATTACAATTATGTCAACATATGCAAATTACCACACAAATATGAACCCTGGATGAAGTCAGATTGAAAATTTGGGTTTTTATTTGTTATTAATGACTGTTTTTTTTTTAGTTGTGTGAGTAACATTCTATAATTCAGAAAAAACTCCGGGAATTGGAAGTTTAGTGCAAGTAAAAACTTTTGAAGTGGAGATTTATACACTGTAAAAAGTATATGATCAATTAGTCATGACAACATATGTAACTTGTTAAACTAACTTAAGTTGATCATGTTCTAACTTAATTTTATAATTTACGCAAGCTGTTTTAAGTCAGTTTAACATTATATAAGATCAGTGGACTCATAAGGTTAATTTGATTCAGCTTAAAAACTTAAGGCAACCAGGATTTTTTACAGTGTACATGTATAATGTACAGTATGTATCCAAATATTTCTTTATATAAATGACTTATTCAAAAATATTTATTAGTATGCATATAAAATATATATAAAACATTTTAAGAAAACCTCTTTTAAAAATACAGTTGAGGGCAAGATTATTAGCCCTCTTGCTTAACAGTGCAGGGATTTTTACAGTACAGGCTTTTTACAGTATTTCCTATAATATTTTTTCTTCTAGAGAGAGTGTTTTATTGTAGTTTGGCTGGAATAAAACCTATATTTATTGTTTTATTTTTTAAATAAATTTCAAGCCCTCTTAAGAATTATGTAAATATATAATATTATATGAAAATATTTATATATATATTTTATTGGCAACAGACAAATCACTGTTGTCCAATGACTTGGCTAATTTACCTACGGTAACGCGCCTAGTTAACGTAATAAACCTAGTTAAGCCTTTAAATTGTACTGAAAGCACAATACTACTAGCCTCTTACAAAAAAAACTACACTGTAAAAAGTATATGATCAATAAGTCATGGCAACATGTTTTTAGTTCATTGTAACTTGTTAATCATGTTCTAATTTAATTTTATAAGTTACGCAAGCTGTTTTAAGTCAGTTTAGCATAATTTAAGTTCAATGGACTCATAAGGTTAAATTGATTCAGCTTAAAAATTTAAGGATTTTTTACATTGTACTGAAATGTTATATATTGCCATCATGGCAAATACAAAAAAAAAAAAATGTTGTTAAAAGTATTATGTTACTCTCCATAAAACAGCGATTGGTAAAAAAGTTTCATCAGAGGGCTAATAATTTTTCCCTTATATGCATTTTAATTTAAATCTACAAACACTAAATGATAAAGAACAACAAAACAATCTCAAAGTGCATTTTTGTGTCGATTTCTTTATATTGAAAACAATGTAGACAGAAAAAAACACTTTATGGCAAGCTAAAAAGCATTGTTTGCAAAAGTTTTAGTGTGAACAAAGAAAAGAAAAAGAAAAGCGTTTATAATCAGGTCATCAATACACTGCACAAAAATGCTGGATTCCACACAATCTCTTCATCTTGTCTCAACGCAACTCTATTATGTTAATTAATGGGTTTTTTTTATAATTTCAAGCTGATTGAACGTAAACATTAAAGTTTTCCCTTAAAAAACTACAGAACTGTTGTTTCAGCTTATTTAAATAAGTATTTTAGACAAGCAGCAAATATATGTTGTTGAACGTAGTGTATTGAACTTACTGGAGCGGCAGACACTGCACCGGCCAGCAGAAGACACAGGAGAGACGTCCACATGGTTATTGAATCAGCAAACCTTATAAACAAAAGCAGTGATGTCAGAGAAGGAGTTCTATATTTCTTAACCATAATGCCATGCAAACACTTACAGTGCACAAGAAGGGTCAGTCAGCGTGGTCACCTTTGCTGCAGGTTGAATCGCTATAGATTTGGCACTGATGCTTTTATTTGGTGTCAGGCTCAGTGCTCAGCCAATCATGCACAGGCTAGACTTCATCATGAGCTCACAGATAGAGAAAGATGGTGATTGAGAAAATGACCTGTAGTCAGACATTGTCTGCCCGTCTGTCGGCTGTTATTATAATGATGACGGTTGAGGAACTGCTGATATCATCAGCCTGTCTGTTCAAGCTGTGTTTTGAAGATACTACATATCAGCGCTTTCAAAAATAGCAACTGAGGTTATGTTTTGTGTATGAGCTTATTGGTGTTTAATCGCAGCAAGAAAACTGTCAGAATTACAATATCAGGAGAATTTTTTCTGATTATGTTTATTATACACTGTGAAAATATATTGCAGCCTACTTTTTTTTGTTGAATCAAAGTAACTTAATAGGAATCTCATCTGACTCAAACTGACTCAAAATATTAAGTTGACTTTGTAAAATAAAATAAAAAACTTTAGTAAAACCTGATTAATGTTAGTTAAAGTAACATAATGTTACATTTGTTTTAATGACTTTTTGTCATTTAATTTTTACAGTAAATATTAAACTATTTTCTCAGACATAGGTTGCGGCTGGAAGGGAATCTGCTGCGTAAAAATGTGCTGGATAAGTTGGCGGTATATTCCTTTGTTGCGACCCCGGATTAATAAAGAGACTAAGCCAAAAAGAAAATGACTGAATGAATACTAAACTACAGAAAAGTGGTGTAAAAAGCAATTACACTAAAAAAATCATGTTTGCTGTTTGTAAAAGCTATGTGAATTCTAACATTTTAAACTGAATTAAGGAGTGTTTTTAGGACAACTAAATTGTTTTATATTGAATACACTTTCAATTTGTAAAAACATTTTAACAGATCGATTGTGTAGAGCCTACTGCATTAATTACAGTGTAGTTACTTTACTTTAAAAAGTGATTGAAGCCATAACCTTAAAAGCAACAAGTTGACTTTACTTTAAAAAGTGAGTAAACTCATCACTTGCAACTGTTAAGTTAACTTAATTTTATTATTATGTGCATAATTCATTTTCTTAATAATTAAAAAGCTACACATTTACTCACTGTAATCACTTTAAAAGTGACATATAATATAATATAATATAATATAATATAATATAATATAATATAATATAATATAATATAATATAATATAATATAATATAATATAATAACCAGGGACTATCCTGACTATGAGTGAGTGATAATATAATTATTATTGTTGAAAATGGATACGTATTTTTTTTATTTTAATTCAATTTAAATTGAATAAATTAAATTAAAAAAAATTATATAATATACAGTACTGCAGCATAAGTTTTATGTTCAGTCCAGTTTATAAGAACTAATAAGTAACTTAATTTCTTCATGTATTCCCAACAAACAAATTGGTCCCAAATTGATTGTGTTTTTACAGCAATTTTTCAATTTTTCACAGTGTAATTATTTTATTTTAAAAAGTATGTGAAGCCATTGTCTTAAAAGAAACAAGTTGACTTTACTTTAAAAAGTGAGTAAACTCATAACTTGTAACTGTTAAAGTGACTTAATTAAGTTTTATTATTATGTGCATAATTCATTTACTAATTAACTATAAAGCAACACATTAATATAATATAATATAATATAATATAATATAATATAATATAATATAATATGGCGAGGCAGTGGCGCAGTAGGTAGTGCTGTCGCCTCACAGCAGGAAGGTCACTGGGTCACTGGTTCGAACCTCGGCTCAGTTGGTGTTTCTGTGTGGAGTTTGCATGTTCTCCCTGTGTTCTCTGTGTGGGTTTCTCCGGGTGCTCCAGTTTCCCCCACAGTTCAAAGACATGTGGTACAGGTGAATTGGGTAAGCTAAATTGTCCGTAGTGTATGTGTGTGTGTGCGCGGATGTTTCCCAGAGATGGGTTGCGGCTGGAAGGGCATCTGCTGCATAAAAGCTTGCTGGATAAGTTGGTGGTTAATTCCGCTGTGGCGACCCCAGATTAATATAATAGAATAGAATAGATATTTGGTGTTAGTTTATTATTGTTGTAAATGGATGTGTATTTTTTATTTTTTAATTAAATACATTTTTTTTAAATAATATAATATAATATAATGATTTGGTGATCGTTTTTTTTGTTATAAGTGTTTCATAATTGTTAAAATAAATTTTAAAAACGATATATATATGAATATATATATATTCATGTGAATATATATATATATATATTCACATGAAAATGACAAATAATATTTCTTTTAAAAGACAAAAAATATACCTTTATCTGAAATTTAAAAAATCTAACTATTTGAAAAGATATAAAAGCTACAACAGTATCTCAATAAGAACCCAACCCAAGAAACAGATTTCCATATAGTAACACATAACCAACTCAAAAAGCACAAGTGGAGGCAAGGAATTGACTGTATAGTTTATTAAAAATCAAGATATAGAAACATGGTTGGGAAAAAGCATCTGATTTAAGAGCTCTCATGCATCAAGCCTCTGAGAGAGCACCATCCCTGACAGATCAACAAATTTGGAATGCAAGAAAATAATGACAATTAGCTAAAAACAAGCAGCTTCTGTGTCACTCTGGAACTTTCTGGTCAAATTATCCGTGCATCTATACAAAAAGGAAACAATATGATGGTTGTTCTGATGTATATGACATACAGTATATTAGACATTGTAACAGCGTCACTGATCAATGTATTATAAGTACTATAATTACCACTAATTTAGTCATCTTGATCATCATCATCATCCTTTGGAACGGGAGCCTACCAGACAAAAAAAAAAAACACATATAGACTCAACATTTCTCACATTAGAAATAATGCTGTTATTATTACATTATTTACGCTACTATCAAAACTTTTTGTCCACCTTGAGCTTTAATGACACCCTGTCAAAAAATCTTGACACATACAGTATATTTTTTACATTATTTGACCTGTTTTAGTCATTTCAACTCACTATATACATATAAACTGACTTAAAATATCAAGTTAAAATTGGTTTAACTTAAAGAAATGAAGTTGAAACTTGATTAATGTACTAAAATAAGTTAAAGTTTGTTCTTAGAGTACTAAATGATGATTTTTGGCTGTAATATATTGCCTTTAATTAGCTATTTTTACCTAAATAAACAAATTATAGTGCCCTGCATCCGCTTGCAAAAAAATTATATATAAAAATGCACATATTTATCTGGTCCCTGAACCACTTTGGGCTTTGACTGCACACTGTAAAAGATTAAATGACAAAAAAAGTCAAGACAACATTTTTTTATGTTAATTTAACTTAAGTTAATCAGGTTTCAACTGAATTTTTTTGTCAGTTTTACTGATGTAAGTTGAGAAGACCAAAAAAAGTTAATTTGATTAAACTAAAAAGTTTAAGTCAGCAAGTTTTTTTGTATACTGTGTATGATATCAATTCACAAAATGTTTAGTTTAGGTGTACCGGGGCAGCAGGAGCAACTGGGGCAGCTGGGGCAGCTGGGGCAGCTGGGGCAGCAGGGACAACAGGGGCAGCAGGGGCTGGACGGAAGTCGAAGGGGTACAGCTAGAAAACACAGAAACATTTTTAAGAAAATGAAGACATCTTATACTGGAGACACATCATGTGGCAGTAGATGTGAATAAAAGGCGTAAACACGTACAACTTCAATGCTCTCTTTGCCTGCGGGCTGAGGAATCTCGTGTTTAATGAAGCCACGGACGGGTTGAGCCTGTGGAGGATGAGACAAAACAAAATGAGGAAGCACTGCAAAGCATGCTAAACGTTCAGATGATGAGGAAAGGAGAGTCTGCGAAATAAATATTAAGTGCAGTTTGAAACTTACAGGAACTCCAGCTGCAGCCTGCTGAGCTGCCAAAAGCTAAAAAATAAAATAAAATAAAATATTAATTAAAACATAGATACAATATTAAAATAATACAGTGATTATTTATAAGTTATACAGTTATAACTTCTAATAGTCTTTCTCACACTTACAAGCTCGATTTCAGAGGGTCTTGCTGCAGCAGGGGCCGCTTGCTGAGCCTGTAAATCATCAAACACACTTCTTATATAATATACATCCTATAATGTGAAATATACAGCTAGAGAAAAAGATTGAATTCTTTGGATTCACAATTGACAGTTATGTGTTGGAGAAAAGCTTGTTTTATTCTGTAAGCTACTGGTGACTTTCTTCAGGACTTTAAACAAACAAAACAACATGTCTAATTATTATTTTCTGGTTTCATTCTTAAAAAATTAGTCCCTAAATATTTTTATTTTAAAAGTTGTAAGAAATATTTTCCAGTAAAACGAGTTTTTCCAAAGCTGTATGTTTCTAAATGCCTTAAAATGCTTCATTTAGGCTGCAAATAAATAATTGTATAAATTTTTGATTTGGACCAAACTAACCTGTGGAGCCATTACAGGTTTGTACTCTACCTCATAATACATCACTTGCTGTGGGTCAGAAAACAAGAAAATTAGTATCACAATGTTTGCATTATATATTATGCTATCCTAGTCTGACTAAATATCTAAATATATATATTAAAAAAGTGAATATAAATCATATACCGGAGCGCAATAAGCAACTCCAATGACGAATGCCAGCAAAATGAGGGATCTCATGATGATTGATGATGTCTGAAATGGAACAATCAACATGAAATATGAAATTAAGAACAAAATACATCAATGTTTTAACTTAGTTTTCTGTTGAATTAAACATACTTTACCTTGGTTTAAGTCTCTTGAACGTGATCAGGATAGTTGAGGAGGATTTTGTGATGCTACGGTCTCGATCTTCGCTTTATATTCGCATGGCAAACAAAAAATAGCATCAGTATCTGATTGGCTTTGGTGAGTAGCCAAGCTTCATTAAAGAGGACAAAAAATGTGCGTTGAAAGCACAAATATAGATCTTTGCTTATCTCAAAGCAAGATTTTGGCCATGACTGTAATTACATTCAATTTGACGTGATACATTAGAGGCATGTCACAGTACAGTACATATAAATCAAATGCTAAATGCATTAAAAGCACATGTGATGAAATCTCTTTGACGGCACTGTTCACACTTGTTCTTCTGCCTGAGGATACTGCTACATATGCTATATGCATTTATAAATAGTATTATAAATAATAAATACCAAAGTAGACACAAAGAAAATAATAATGTTCCTGATATTTTTGCAGAAATTATGTAGCACTGAATATAAATGGTTCTTGTAAAACTCTAAAGTCAGTGAAAATAAATATACTTCTACTCCTTTTGTGTTCTGGATTTGAATTAATACAGTTACAGTTATTATGTGTATACTTATTACTAGCCCACCTGTAAAATCTTTATTTAAAAAAAAAATGATGTTTAGAGTAAGGGTTTTTTACTGTATTTACTATAACATTTTTCATTTCCTGCTGAAAATAACCAAGTTAAGCTTTAAAATTGCATTTTAACCTGAAAAACTAGTATCTTTCAAAGTAATTTGTAAAGTAATTAGTCTCATAATGGCAAACACACAAAGTAGCTATTAAAAATTAAAACTATTATCTTTAAAAATGTGTTGAAAATGTCCTCTCTGTTAAACAGCACCTAAAACTTTGAAATATTTCATAATTAAAATTCAATCAAAAAGTCAATAACTTTTGCCATGCCTCTTGATTTAAAGTTATAATCAGAGCTCCCAGTAATAACCTTTTTCTGTAAAGCTGAAAGAATGGTTGAAATCTTTACAGCAATGTGAACATTGAGTATTATTCTTTCAGGTTGATCAGGTTTGGATGTAGTGCAAAACACAATGCATTTAGATCGACGCAGAAACATTAAGATCACAATGCAAAAACATTTCAAAAAGCAAACAACTTCACATCGCAGAAACATTAAGATGAAAACACAGAAACATTTTAAAACGCAAACATTAATTTTACAACCCAGAATTTTTTTTGGAAATGTTTCTGCGTTTTAATCTTAATGTTTCTGGGTTGTAACATTAATGTTTGCTTTTTTTTTAAATGTTTTTGCATTGTGATCTTAATGCGTTGTGTTTAGCACTACTGGGCCACGTAGTTTTATCATTTCTCTGAAGTATGCAGAAATATTATATCATACTGCAGGGGTTGCCAAACTTTTCAGCTTACGACCCACAAAATTACAATGCCAGTGACCCGCGACCTCCAATATTCTCTGAGGTGGTTATAGATATATAATCTTTGCACATAACCAATAGGCCCAAATCTACTCATCGTTAAATTTTGAAGAACGCCACTTGGAGACAATCCTCCATGTTCAATTGTGGCCTGTATTTATTTTAATTTAAGTAAGTGCTGTAAAGGTGTCAGAAAGTTTAACCTGGTGCCATAAAATCAATGTGCTGCGTCTGACTCTATTGCCGTGTCTTTAATACAACGTAATCATCCCAGGGGTTGCAAAACAAAATTGAAAGGCTGATGGCTTTTCTTTTGCACGTTTTTTTTTTTTTGTATGTTTATTATTAACAATGTTACTGTTAACTACTATTTTGTTCTTCAGTAGGTTATGGATAAAATATAATAATTCTAATAGTTTAATGAAATAAATTTGATTTTTGGAAATCGCCAAGCGACCCCTCCTTATTGCCCTGCAATGCCCTGGGGGATCCCGACCAACATTTTGGGAACCACTGACCTAGCAAACCTATTGACCGAAACACTTTCCTAAACCCAACCGATAGTGTTTTCAAAAGCAATTGTAAGAAAAAAGTGCACTGCAGAAACATAGTTTTACACTTTGATTTTACGTCGCCGTTATATCTTTTCAGAAACCATGCTACACCAGACTCACACATCAGAGATACTATTAAGTTATTTGTGATATTTATTTAGTGTTGTGCAAAGAAATAGACAAAAAATAATTCTTAATTTGTTGATAATATGTCCCTGTAAAATATCTATAATGTGAAAAGGAACAAAAGTTGCCATCATGCTCCACCATGTACCGCTGACGTACATGGTGAGCCACTTTACAAACTAACAACCGCAGGAAAGCCATCCATATGGAGGTAAGCGGTCAGCTGGAAGCACGAAAAGTCATATCACCCCTGTAGCGCTCGTTTTAAAGACTTTGTATTAGTATTAGTATCAAAATTAGTACCTCTGGCTACATAATTTGCGATCTCCAGAAATGTATATAGGGCTATGTTTAGAGAAAAAAACCTATGTTAGTATTGCCAGGCATCAAAGTTTTAAAACTTTATGACTTATAGTTTGGCCTGCCAGATCAGTTTTATAGAAGCATGATGATCTTTTGTTTAAGCAATGTTCACTAAAAACATTTGCTTACATGCACTTAAATTTAAAATGTGTAAGAGAGCTGTTTTTGTCAGGGTCTGATACTGGTCAATTCAATGCATGAAAATGAAGCCTTCCCTCATAGTTTGAGCTTGTTCAATCTTGGCACTCTCATCCTTAATATGATCAGGGGAAGTGAACATGATTGTGTGACTAATAAAAATACACACTGCATTGGTTAGGGTTCAAATAATTGTTTCTAGTCAAGCCAGAAACATATTAACCTCTGCAATAAAGATCTAATCACAGACTCTCAAGTCATAGTTCAGACAAAAATGAAAAACACCTCATCTTTTATTTTCTGTCATGTAGTTTTAAACCTTTATGAGTTTCTTTCTTCTTTCAACAAAAGATATTATGAAAATTTGCTGGTTGCTGGCGCCCCTTTGAAACACAGCAAATTATAAGGTGTTGAATTTCTGGTGCCCCCTGAGTTAAAATTCAAGTGTACATATACTGTTTTTAACATAGATGTGGGATAAATTACACACTTAAACACTCATTTGAGCAAGGCAAAAGAAAAGAGTTCACTGACATTTTATGTTTTTATTATTATTATTATTATTATTATTATTAATATATTATTCCAGGGTTTTCAAATATCAGCCTGATCTCACGAGGAAGCGTAAGTATTTCAAGTTTTGTCAGTTTAGTGGCTAATTCGTATAAATTCGTACGAGTTCAGTTGATTTTAAAAAAGGAGGCGTGGCACCCAACCCCACTCCTAACCCCAACCGTCAATTGGGTGAAGAGCAAATCGTACTAATTGTACAAATTAGATCATACAAATTCATATGAATTAGCCACTGAATCAAAAAGTTACGAATTGTCGTGAGATTGCGTTGCAAATATACACTTTTCTTTGTGAATTTCATGTAAGAAAAATGTTAACTTTTACTCAAGTCAACTTAAAGAACATTTGAATTTATGCTAAATATGACCTGGCAGTGGTGATAGAGTATTTAATCTAGTATACCGTTTTTTGCACTCTTAATGTAAATTTATTTACTCTACTTAAGTGTATTTATTCAACACTTTTTAAAGTGTAACTGGTGGGACTTGTATATACACCAGAAGAGAGTGTAATTTAGCACCTCTGGAGTTATATGTACACTGGACAATTTTCCCTGCAGGTGGTGTGCATTTTTACACTCTAAGTGTAAATATTTTCTACCACTGAGGTGTATAAATTCAACACTTTTGAAAGTGTAACCTGGGCACTTGGCTGGTAAAGCCTGGTTTATACTTCTGCTTCAAGTGATTGGCGTAACTCACGGCGCAGGCAACGAAGTTAATGGGATGTACAAGTGACTCAAACTAGCTCATTTTGAGGCAGGAACTGGCGGATGTGCAACAACTTTAACCATGAGGTAAACACAGAACAAAACTTTTCATCCGGAGCTCCTTAACGGCACTTGTAAACAATCGCTCGCGCCATTCGCGCGGCTCTCAGTCCCGCCCAGGCTCGTCAGCACCACCAAGCCGACCAATCACAGAGCTTGCGCTAGGCGTTGTTGCGACGTGTAGTTACATTTTTTGAGAGGTGCACGTCAGTGACGCCGACGGCCACAGCGAAGGGCTATTCGTCAGCGCCGTAGCATACGCCAGTGTTTGACACAGAAGTATAAATCAGCCTTAAGACTCATTTATACACCAGAAAAGCGTTAAATTCAACACCTGTGGTGTAAAATGTACACTGGCAATGTTTCTGTGTATGGAAGTCAATGTGGGTTTCCTCCAGGTGCTCCGATTTCCCCCACAGTCCAAAGGCATGCGGTACAGGTGAATTGGGTAGGCTAAATTGTCTGTAGTGTATGAGTGTGAATGAGTGTGTGTGGATGTTTCCCAGAGATGGGTTGTGGCTGGAAGGGCATCCGCTGCATAAAAACGTGCTGGATAAGTTGGTGGTTTATTCCACTGTTGCAACCCTGGGTTAATAAAGGGACTAAGCTGATAAGAAAAGGAATGAATGAATGAATGAATGAATGAATGAATGAAAGGCAATGTGTGCCAACAGCATTTTTCAAAATATTAAGAACTAAATAAATTTGAATTTGTTTTGAAAAAGTGAAAAGTAAATGATGACAGAATCCAATAAATTTTGGGTGAAGTATTGCTTTAAGTATTCACTTGCTTAAATTCAAGCAATATATTAACAGTAGTTTAGAGGTCCTAATGTTCTCTGTATGAATACCTTCAACATATAAAAAATACATTATACTAAAGCATTGTAGAAGGGAACTTTATAGTTAAAGCCCCTTGCTCTATCTCTTGGTTACAGTGTGCACATTTTTCCAAGTAATGTTAATACCACTGGCACTTGATGACAGATGAACTCTGCAACACAGAAATAGCCTCAGGCTGTCATTAACTTCGATTTAATTATAAGTCTATACATTGAGGCCCACACACACAGTTCACAGTAAAAGACCAAAAAGATATTTTGCTAACACTTTACAAAAAGGCTCAACACATTTATTACAGTGTTTATTCATCTTTGTTAACATTAGTTACAGTCATTCACTGTTAGTCCTTGTTAAATCACACTTTGGATTTTAACAATGCATTAGTAAATGTTTAAATAACATTAACTTATAAATGCCATGTATTGTTGATCGCCAACATTAACTATTGGCACTTTATTCAAAAATGTGACAGATGTGTCAAAGTCCACAAAAAGTCAAAAATGTATTTCTGGAAATATTATAAAGCAGTTACAAATAAAAAAACAAAAAAATGTACAGTTGAAAGCAAAATGATTAGCCCTCCCGGGAATTGTTTGTTCTTTTTCAAATATTTCCCGAATGATGTTTAACAGAGCAAGGAATTTGTCACAGCATTTCCTGTAATATTTTTTCTTCTGGACAAAGTTTTTTTTGTCTTATTTTAGCTAGAATAAAAGTAGTTTTTAATTTTATTAAACCATTTTAGGGTCTATATTATTCACCCCCTTATATTAAATATTAGCAATATTTGTTTTCGATTGTCTACAGAACAAACCATTATTATACAATGACTTGCTTAATTACAACTGTCAAATTAATTTAATTAAGCCTTTAAATGTCACTTTAATCTGAATACTAGAGTCTTAAAAAATATGTAGTAAAATATTATGTACTGTCATCATGGCAAAGATAAACTAAATCAGCTATTATAAATTAGTTATTAAAACTATCATGTTTAGAAATGTGTAGAAAAACATCTTCTTACCGTTAAACAACAATTAGGGGAAAATCTAAAGTGGTGGGGGGGCTATTTATTTAGATTTCTATGAAAAATCCTGACTCAACCTAATATATAAATCAGTTAGCTTGACGTAAAATACATATTTGTGTAAATCCTGCATTAATCATGTATCTTAGGGATACATCTCATTAGCAGTATTGGTGTCTACAGTATCAGAAAGCAGTGGTGGGGCTGCTGGAAAAAGATCTTCTTTGTATTCTGCTGTTGGGAGTGGATCGGGAACTAGACTGGGACCACTGCTTTGGGGATCGGGGTGGACAGTAGGAACATCAGCTGAGATGAAAGCTCCGTGACCTGAATCTAAAGGTGCAAAAGAGTTGGTTGAGGGGATTTCAGCGGACACACATGGTGCTCGATCACGATCCTGAGTGCCAGAAATCCTACTAGGCAGCACTGCACTATTTGGATGGGATCCACCAGTAGCAGGTATGGCATCTCTGCTAGGAGGCACGGCTATAATGCTGGGTTGCTGGAGCTCAGTAATGCCCGGGTAGGTCATTCCAGTGGCAGGGAAGGGGTTGGGCGGTCTTACTGGCCCAATGGGTACAACAGTTTGAGGTCCAGATACAGGAAACACATTTCCTCTAATCGCAGGTAGGTGCATGTTAACACGGCCCATGTTCTGCAGTGTGAGATATGAACAGAGATTAAATGCATGTTTCTTGGTGGAATGCAGGCAAGAAGGCACAGATTAATAACATAGCCTTGTTTCCATGTGGTTCCTTGCATATTATTGTTTCACTGTAAAAATATCCGGTAACACTATAGTTTACAATTCATGCTGTAACTACTGATTTATTACCTGCCTATTATTAAGATTTTGTCTTTAGTTATAAAGTATAACCTTATTCTGCATGCCTAATCCTACCCAAAACCTAAATCCAACTTCAAGTTTGCAATTAATAAATAGCTTGTTAGTATTTTATTAAGGTAGTTGTGTTAAAGGTTTGTTAATACTGTGAAGAGTGACCAAAACTAAAGTATTACCAAATATTCTTGCTGACTTACATTTTGTAGTTTAATCAAATACATTTTTCTAGTCATCTCAGCTTACATCAATCGAACTGAATAAAAATATCAAGTTAGACTTTTTGTCATAACATTTTTGGCATGTGCATTCTCAAATTGGATGAGGTTTCAGATATTTTACTAAGTATGCAATATGGTAAGGGCAAGGGTGTCCTTTAAAGGGATAGTTCGCTCAAAAAAAAAAGGGCAGCCACTGCACCATGCAAAATGTTGTGAAGTGGATTGCCATACAGACAAAAATAATCTGGGTGCTTTTCACTCAACTTTTGGTTAAAAGTAGACAAACTAATCATTAAAGGTAAAAAAAAGTGATTAAAAATGTTATTTAAATTTAATTGAAACTATCCATCATTGGGTTTGTCCATATTAGACCATTAAGTTAAAACTACCCAGCATATTTTAGAGTGTATTGGTAAATCTGCTTAATCACTTGTCAATACATAATATTCATAGAAATTCTACTCATTATATGCAACTCTACATGTACATGTTAACTTATTCTGCTAATGTAACCTGTAATCTAATATTTTACATTTCTACTAATCATCTACTAATTATATAACGAGAATGAGAGTTAGTTGACATGTTATTATAAAATCACTGTTAACAATTTAAACATGTCTAATAAGGACCATCAAAATAAAGTGTAAGCATCTTAAAAAAATAAATAAAAACTTCTGCAGTATTTTTAGATCACTAAAAGGTGCAAAAGATGAGGATGAGGCAAATACTTTTTTTTTTCAAATAATGATGATGATAATAAACAAACAGAACATTACATATGCTTCCTCTGAAGCCTCACTGTAATTGAATTTACCTGAAGTTCCTCAGAGCTCAGTCCACCATATGATCCAGCCTTTAAAAACAAATTCAAATAAGTAAGTACCCCATATTGATCATATTTGATGAATAAATTTATCATTTTACAGAAATAAAACATAATTATTTAATTTACCATTCGCTGTGGCATTTGAGGAACCATATAAAAAATGGGTTGAAACTGTTAAAAAAACACATGCTATTTTAGGATATTTTCAACACACTTGAGTTGCTTGAATCCACAATTTTTTATATATACCTGTTGTTGTTGTTGTTGTTGTTGTTGAGGCTGACGCATTTGGTGTGCATTTTGCCCCTGTTGTGGTCTTGCTGGCCGTAAAGCTGGAGCTGCATTAGCAGGATATTGTTGGGATGCAGCATGCTGGAAAGCAGACACTCCATAGGAGAACTGATGCATGAAGAGACATTTCAGAAACATTATACAGTCAGAATTATTAGCTCTCCTGAATTATTAGCTGTTATTAGGCTGTTATATGGAACTTAGGGTATTTATAGTGACTTATGGCAAGCAAACATAAGCAAAACTTGGCTAAACTTGATGAAAATCTAATAGATATCTAAGAATAGCCCAAAACTAGACTAGTCATCAAATAGACATATTAGGCAGACTTTATATGAGTAGTCATTCGTTTCTGTTTATTTTATGACTAGTTTAGTTTTGGCCTATTCTTAGACATCTGTTAGATTTTCACTGACAGCCCAAATTTAGTCTTGTTTTAGCCAAGACGACTATGTTTAGACTTCTATTAGACTACTGGGTTGTTGTATAACAGTGGTTTATTCTGTAGACAGCTGAAAAACATTGCTTAAGGGAGCAAATAACATTGATCTTAAAAAGTTTTGTAAAAAATTCAAAACTGCTTTTATTCTAGCCGAAATAAAACGAATAAGACTTTCTCCAGAAGAAAAAATATTATATAGGAAATACTATGAAAAATTCCTTGCTTTATTAAGCCTCATTGGTAAAATATTTGAAAAAGAAAACACACATTGAGGCACATTGAGTATTAGTAAAGCATGAATGAACCGAATGACTCCTCTCTCTGTTGGATGCTGATCTGACAAACTGCTGACAATAGATTTTATTTATGTACGTACTTTACTGATAGTGAGGCGATTTACTATATTACAGCAACCCTCTTTGTTCAGACACATCAAGTGCAGCGGGTTTCCTCAATCAATCAAAGCACCTCATACGTGACACGTACAGAAGACAGACAGGAAGATTTCCTCCAGCCAAAAAATTCAGATCATTTACAAAACAGGCGAAACACAAAGGCTTGCTTGAGGGTTACATTGCTAAATTTAATTAAGTTCAGGTTTGGACCCTGATTGAAAGTGAACCTGCTGAACTCAGCCAGTCTGTTAGCTCTTCCTGTGGTGGATTTTTGCTGACTATAAACAAAAACCCCACATATTTCTGTTATTGCAGAATAAATGATGGAAACACTCTTACTGTCGGGTTCCTTGATTGCTGTCCAAGAATGGGATAGTAGAAAAACTGAAAAATAAAGAAGCATAAATTTATTTTTTATAAACGTTTTAATACGTTATTTAAAAATAGTCCCATGTTTACAATATACTCCTAAAATAAAGATTGTTTTTAAATTCATGAACATTTAGTGTTAATAGAAACTTTCCTATGCACAAAAGGCTCTTTAAAGTGAAAATGGTTTATTAAATGTGGGGTTTTTAAACGTTTTGGTGTCAAAGACTGCAAAATGTGTCTATGAATATGACAATTGAGTAGACTTGAGACCATATAATGTAATAGGCATGTACAGTTGAAGTGACAATTATTAAACCCCCTGAATTATTAGCTCCCTAATTAATATATTTAGCCAATTTCTGTTTAATGGAGAGCAGATTTTTTCAACATATTTCTAAACATAATAGTTTTAATAACCCATCTCCAACTGATTTATTTTATCCTGGCAATGATAACAATAAATATATTTGATAATAATATTTGACTAGATATTTTTAAGACTTCTATACAGCTTAAAGTGACATTTAAAGGCTTAACTAGGTTAATTAGGGTAACTAGGCAGGTTAGGGTTATTAGGCAAGTTATTGTATAACAATGGTTTGTTCTGACTATCGAAAAAATATATAGCTTAAAGAGGCAAATAATATTGACTTTAAAATGTTTTTTTCAAAAAATTAAAAGAGCTAAAATAAAACAAATCAGACTTTCTCTAGAAGAAAATATATTATCAGACATACTGTGAAAATTTCCTTGCTCTGTTAAAAAATATTTGGGAAATATTTAAAAAGGAAAAATATTTTCAGGGGGGCTGGCTATTCTAATTTCTACTGTATATACTGTAGTTTTGTTTTGTTTTTGCTTTTTTTTTGTTTATGGTTAGTGTAAGTTGACGTACTTGCAATATAGTCAGTTAAATGTGTTGAAGGAGGAGTATCAGCAGATTTTAAGCAGACTGTCTAATACTCAAATTAGAAGTAATTGGCATGTAGTTGCAATAAAACTTCTAGTCAAAAAACATGCAATACGGACCATCAATATAAAGTCTTCCCAAATAATTGTTTTCTATTACATTAAATTACTGTTATTGTCATATCATTTCTTTAATAATATTGTTTTTATAATCTCTATAAATTCAACATATACTTTATTTTATTTAACTTTAATTAGTTTATTTGTTTGCACATAATTATTTATTCATAATAATTATTATTAGATTATTTGAATATAGTTTGTGTTATTCTATTTATTGTATTATTTGTGTCATTATATTGTCTTTATAGAGATACAGAAATTTTGTTTTGTTTATTTTCAGTAATCAAATATATATATATATATATATATATATATATACTTTTTTTTGCATTGTATTCTAAGCATGATTATTTAATAATATTTTGTATTTTTTCATATGTATTGTTTAAGTTTTGTCAATTATTTATTGATTTTTTAAATCATTTTTATTTATTGTTATATTTTTTCCAGTTGAAAAACTCCGGCATTTAATCATTAAATGTTCTTAACGCAAATAAACAAATCTTTTAGGATCATTTAGGTCAAAGCTTCTTCAGGGAACCAAAAAAAAGAATTTTAGAAATTAGTGACATTTCTAACCTGCGGTTGCTGAGAATAAGGAAGGTACTGAAACTGTGCTGGATGCTGTCTGACAGCAGTACTGGGGTTGGGTTGAGAGGCCCATGGATTGGGCACCTGTTGATGAAGTCCAGAGAGCATTCTAGGAGATCCAGGCTGAAACTGTTGCATATCTCCCACTGACAGCGATTCCTTTAAATCAGCATTTGGGGAGATCTACAAAAAAAAAAAAGTTAAACTGTTAGTTCACCCAAACAAGAAAATGGTATAGTTAATTACAAATCCTCAAGATCTTCAAAATATAAAATATAAAATATTTTAAGTAAAATCTGAGAGCTTCTTCATCGTCCTTAGACAACAACAATCCCGAAAATACCCAAAACATTTTTAATGGTTCAACTGAAATATTATCAAGTTACGAGATTACCTTTGTTCTCAAAACAAAAATAAAGATTTTATTCAACAGTTTCAAGTCCTCAGTCTCAGTATACCATGTGTGTATACTGTGTATTTATTAGGGTTTCATTTGTGCATAGTAAATATGCACAATATATTGACACTAAGGAGAAGAAATTGTTGAATTAAGTCCCTACTTTTGTTTTATGTGAAGACAAAAGTATTCTCGTTGCTTGATAAAATTCTAATTGAATCACTGAAGGCCTATGGTGTGTTTTCAGATTGTTTTTAGATATCTTTCCGGAAGAACAAAATTTTCAGGAGGTTGGAACGACATGAGGGTGAAATAATTTTCATATTTTTGAGTGAGCTTTTAATTTTTTTCAGTTATGTTAATCAATAAGAAATTAATGTTTTGGTTCCATAATCATGATGTTATGCAAGTGTGTAGGGGGTTCAAACAAATATGAATCAACTAATCAAGGTATATTGTTTTTATTTATGTTAAATTAAAAATTTTGTGAAACGCAAAACTTTGTACTAAATACAAAAGTACAAAATATTAAATGCTAAGTAATTTAATTTTTAATTTAGAAGATATGCTGATGTCACTTCCGGCAGGGAGTTGTGTCATGAAAATGGAAGGAAAACTGTTGTGACCATGTAATATATTTCAGTTAAGTTGTTATAAAAACTTTGCTTGAAACGACTTCAATGTCTTATGTTACTCGCGTTTAATTCCTGCTTATTCAAAGAAAGAAACAAGACAAGAAGTAATGGATTGATGACACAAACATAAGGTCTAGACCATAAAGTATGCTGGAGCTGGTTGGAGTTCAAATCTGCAGGATGTTGGCCCTCCTGGACCAGTTTTAGTTCTTTATTGGCATTAGATTTCATGAAGATTCTTTAACATCCATGTTATCCTTCCATTCTACACAAGCAGTGGTGGGTTTAACCAATAAGCAAGGTAAGCAGCCGCTTAGGGCCCCAGGAGGATTTAATAAGAAAAATTGTATTGTAATTATTATGTCCCGAATTTGTCCCTCACCCCCAATAATGGAGCAGTTCAGCAGTCAAATCAGATGAAGATTTAGTTTTAAAAATGAAACAATTTATTATTTGTAGTTGTTTTTGTTTTTTAATTTTAAGAAAAATATAGAAAAGAAGATTGAGTGATATAAGAAAAAGTCAGCAACACAAACAAACAAACAAACAAATAAATACAAAGGGTGCATGTTAGGACGTTTTGGCCCCTATATAGCTGAAATTGCTTAGGGCCTCCAAATCACTAAATCTACCCTTGTGCACAAGGTTAATTACAGTTGAAATGGTACTTTAGATTTCTAAACTGTACATTAAGAAGTAACTCAAAAATCACTCATTTTGTTTACTTTTATTTTTCAAAAGTGAATATTCCCATTAACTAAATCCTTGTGGTATAGTTTATTCAAATAAATTGAACATTAATGGATTAGCGTTCTTATGAAGTAGGATATTTATCATTTAACTGTGAACATCTCTCTAAAAAACTCATCTTTCAACTGGATGAATAAAGACGATTAATGACTCACCGGAACAGCGGATGTTCCAGCAAGAAAGCACACGATCATCACTATAAGCCTCATTTGTGTCATGCCTAAAGAGACACACAAAGTTAATATTAAACTGACAAATTACACCACACAAATTGATTACGAGATTGATAGCTAACACTGCATGATGTTAAAAAAAGACAAATACTCACTTTAAAATCCTTTGATCAAAACAGAAAACCGTAAGTGGGGAAAGCTGTACTTAAACACTGTCCATTTCTCAAGCAACCAATCAGCTGTGGGGACAATATGAGAAATGGGCTCTGACTAAATAAAACCTCAGACCATAATTTAATCGCACAATTCAGAAAATGTCTAGCGTTTAAATGAATCATCAAATTAAGCCATTTTGAAATGTTCGACATATCCAGACGAGTTTAATTTGATATATTGGTTCAGTTTCACAGCATTAAAACTCAAATCAAAAACGGATAAATATGATCATAAAAATGAGGTTTGTTTGCGGTAGTCTGGAAGTCAACTCCAAACATTGATTTTCACAGCATGAACAGATCCCAACAATGAAGAAATCTGGTTTATTTTCGATAAATCACAATGTTGCATTCACCCACAGCAGAAAAGTGTCTAATCTGAGGTTGTTCCTCGCCGATTTTGTCTTTCCAGTGTTGATTAAAGTGAAACCGCAGTTACCCTCTGAAAAGGCACTTTGGTTCAGTTAATGATAGTATAATTCTGTCATTCCCACAGTAAGAACGATCCTAATTTCACACTGCGGTGAGATGACTGTTATTATTAAGTTGGGTTGAAACCGAATAGGAATGCAGACACAGACGGCAGATTTTATGAAACAACCAGGAATTTCCCAAACATGACTGGATGTGCAAACAAAAGCTAGACTGGATCATTTTAAAAACAAACTTTGCTAATTTTTGGGTACTGTTGAAATGCACAGACTGATTTTCTACATGATAAATTAGAAAATGCTTCCTCTTAAGATATACTGTGTTTAATAAGCATGTAGTGACTCAAGAGTCATACTGTCCCACCCAAGACAATCTCAAAATCTCAAAATTACATACCCACATTTTGCTCTGTTGACACTGCACCACACCTACTGTGTAGAGCCTCAGGGTTGTACACATTGACCATTACATTAAACATCACTGCCAAGAAATCATCTGAAATAACTAAATGTTACATATTTGACTTCATAATTTAGGATATTATCAACCCAGGCTCATTCTGATTATGTACCCCATGAATATTTCTGGAGAGCGACAAATACATCCCAGGAGCTCCATTTTTTTTTTTTTTTTTTTTTTTTTTTTGCAGTTTTTGCAGTTTTTGTTTTTGCGAATCCACTAGAGGCTACTGTGTACATTTTTTGAGATGTCAAATTTCTCTCACGAGTGCCATTTGGGGCTGCTCTTCTCACGTAAATCCACCAGACTCCAATCACTGCTGTCGACTGACTGACTGACCGATAATTCCACCCGCCCCCTTCCCTAAACCCAACCGATAGTGTTAAAAAAGCACCAACTGACCAGCACCCATCCATTTTCCTAAACTCAACTGACAGTGTTCTGAAAAGCAATCCAGAAAAAGAAAAGCTCTTACAGCAGTCTGATTTTACCACGTTATCAGATTTTACCAAATATTTATTTATTTTTTGTCTATTGTTTTTGTCTTACCCGCTTTCTGGAATCGTTCTTCGCAGGACTGGAACTCAATCATCGCAGTCAACTCTCATCTGCATCTCAAATCTTCTGCTGTGCACAGCAAGCCACTGGACAATCTGGTAACAGCGGGAAAGCTGTCCATATGGAGTTAAGCAGTCAGCTAGAAAGCGCGAAAAGTAACGGCATCATACCACCCCCTAGCATTCATTTTAAAGACGAAATGCATCCATACATACCTCTTGCTACATAATTCACAACCTCCAGAAATGTATATAGGGCGACGTTTTCAGAATGAGCCTATGTTGGATATTATAATTCTGGTTGACAATGAGTATACAGGCCTTTAGTGCTTTCTGTATAGCACTACAAAAAAAATAATAATAAAAAAAGATTTATTCACTATACTCAGTCTCAGCCTGAAGTGATTATGAACCTTTAAGACTTTTTTTCTGCCTTAAACTACTGAATATACTTTGAAGAACATTAGTGCTGGTAACCGGTAGCTTTTGATTTTCATAGCAGGAAAAAATACAATGTAAATCAATGGCTATCTGTTACCAACATTGTCCAAAATATATTCTCTAAAACAAGAAATTGGCAAGGTAAGTTTATTTATATAACACATTTCATAAACAATGGTAATTCAAAGCGCTTAACATAAGAATAAAAGAAATAAGAAAATAAAAATAATTAAAAGAATAAAAAATGTTTTAAAAAATTATTTTAAAGGTTATAAAAGACTGAAAGAGAAAAGAAAGACATTAGTGTGATCTGTCGGACGCAGCACAGTGCTCATTCAGTAAAGGCACAGCTAAACAGATCTGTTTGAGTCTTGATTTGAATATACTTAATGTTGGAGCACATCTGATCATTTTTGGAAGCTGATTCAAACAGCAGGGGGCAGAGTTGCTGAATGCCGATTCACCCTGCTTTCACTGAACTCTTGGAATTTCTAATTTATTTGATCATTATGATCTAAGTGATCTATTAGGTTTGTATTCGGTGAGCATATCAGTAATGCATTGAGGTCCTCTTAGTCCATTTAGTGATTTATAGACAAATAGTAATACTTTAAAGTCCTTTCTGAATGTAACTGGGAGCCAGTGCAAAGACCTGAGGACAGGTGTGATGTGCTCGAATTTTCTGATTCTGGTCTGAATCCTTTGATAGATATATATATATATATATATATATATATATATATATATATATATATATACATTTCTCGTTTCGAGTTTTACAACAGAGGATAAATGAATGAATATAGATTTGGTTTGTTCAAGACTTGTCAAAAATTTCACATTAATTTACTTGAACAAACATGAACACTACCACAAATCTTAATTATGACTTAGATTTACTGCTTGGGAAAAAATACTATGGAAGCCAGCGGTTTTCAGCTATTTGGTTCCCAGAATAACTTCTACTCTAACCAGCAGAAAGAAAGAAATATACAGATTAGCAACAAAGCAACAATTGTGCAACATAGCAACAAGTTTTGTAATGTTTGTATTATATTTATTGGTGCACTGTAGCTCAGTGGGTTGCCTCACTGCAAGAAGGTTGCAGGTTTGAGCATCGGCTGGGTCAATTGCCATTTCTCTCTGGAGTTTGCATGTTTTCCCCGTGTTTGTGTTGGTTTTCCCTGGGTGCTCCGGTTTCCCCCACAGTCCAAAGACATGTGCTATAGGTGAATTGAGTCATAAATCGGCCATAGTGTATGAGTGTGACCCCCCCCCCGATAGATATTTGAAGTTGACAATATGTGCTACCCCTTGAAATTAACTACTACTATATTGAACTACTACTATATTGGTTATTTATTTCATTAGTTTTATATTTAATTTTTTTATTAGAGTGGTAGTTCATTCCGATTGACATTTGAAGCTGACCAAATGTCCTACCCCTATTTTTTTTAGCTGAAATAGGACAGATTGAGCTACTGGTAGCACAGATTGTCAGAACACCAGCCCTTCAGGTGGATGGTCAAAAGGCAGGCAGCAGACAGGAAGAAACAACACAACAAAGCAAAACAAAGCTAGGGTCAAAACTGGCAAGGCAAGGAAACCGCATCGCAAGTTTAAAATACAGTTAAACAAGACATTAAACAAATTTGAAAGGTGTATAAATGGTCTGTATAATTAGTCCTGAACAGCTTCAGCTGTATCTGTTTGCAATCATGAGGATCTAGTCCAGGTGTGTGAGTGGTGCATGACTGGATATGTAGTTCTTTTGCTGTCAGATTTGTAGTTCTCCAGTGATCTGAATGGGCTATGCCACTGGTGATTGTGACAATGGGTGTTTCCCATTGCTTGGTTGCGGCTAGAAGGGCATCTGCTGCGTAAAACATGTGCCGAATAAGTTAGCGGTTCATTCCGCTGTGATAAATAAAGTGACTAAGCTGAAGGAAAATGAATGAACGTACTAAAAATTTAAGATTCACTGCATTTATTGAAAGCATTATTTAAAAAGTGACCTTGAGTACATTATTTAGGCGAATGGGATTCATCTTCACTATCTGCCATCTAAGCGGCCGGTGGTGGTGACGGCTGGGGGCCTGGGTGTGGGTCCTGGGGAAGGAGCAGGAGTAGGGCTTGGAGTAGGGGCTGGACGAGGCAGAAACAAGGGCCAATAAATTGGCCACAGTGGGTATACAGCTGGACCAGGCCTCACAGGATAATACAACCAAAAGGGCTTCTAAAGAAAAATATATAAACAGTCACGCATACACAAATGAAGTCAAATTATTCGTTTTTTTTTTTTTCAAAAAAATTTTAAATGATGTTTACCAAAGATTTATCACAGTGTTTCCTACAAAGTGTTTTATTCTGGAAAAAGTCTTATTTGTTTTATTTCAGCTAGCATAAAAAATGTTTTACATTTTTTTAAAACCATTTTAAGGTCAAAATTATTAGCCCCTTTAACAATATTTTTTTGATTGTCTACAGAAAAAAACACTGTTATACAATGACTTGCCTATTTACCCAAATTAGTTAAGCCTTTATTGTCACTTTAAGCTGAATTGTGTCTTTAAAACATATTGTAAAAATTTATTTACTGTCATCATGGCAAAGATAAAAGAAATCAGTTATTAGAAAATTGTTATTAAAGCTATTGTGTTAAAAAAAAATCTTCATTCTGTTAAAAAGAAATTGGGGGAAAAATATACAGTTCAACTGTATATGAAACAGTGTATTATCCTTTTTGCTCAGCTTCAGGGGAAAGTTACATGAAACATTAGCTTTAGCTAGGAGCACTGGGAGTTTACCTCATCACTGCCAGAGTAGCTCCCGGGCTTATAACGGTGTCAGAGCTGTGAGAATTAAAAAATATGACACACGATCATGAGATTATAATCAAGTGTTCAATAAAGTATCATACAGTGTTACTTTTATTCAGTTTTTAATGGGATAGTTCACCCAAAAATGACTATTTACCCGCCCTCAAGTGGTTCTAAGAGTTTCTTTATTCTGTTGAGCACAAAAGAGGACATTTTGAATAAGAAACCGGTAGTCATTGACATAAATAGAAAAAAAAACAAATGCCATGGAAGTAAATGGACACCGGTTTCCAGCTTTCTTCAAAAAATGTTCTGTTGGTTCATCAGATTAATGAGAATCTGAACTATTTTATGGCATACTTCAATAAATAAAGATGATTTAGTATTTGAAAATGTTTATTTTGATTAAATTTGCTTTTAAATAAATTCATCTTACTCTTCATATTTTCAGATGTTCATAGTACATGTATTAATAATGGGACTTTGACCATAAACCGACATATCAACCATTTGGTAGAGGTTAATATCTTAGAAATTATGGCATGTGTTAAAAAAATGCATTGATTGTGTTAACTAGCAACATCAGGAGTTTTGCAATCCAAAAAAAATGTATTACTTTTTTTTTCTTGTTGAGGCAGTTAAAGGAATAAAAAAAAAGTAAAACAGCTTTAAAAGTGAAAAAGAAGGGAAAAGTGAGGGAATTTCAGGTGAACTACCCCTTTAAGATTGATATAAACTGGACTGCTTGCTTGCATTGCATATATAATTTGACACAAACTACATATAAACATGATTTATAAAACAGTTTACTTACAGCTGCCGAGGGAATGAGCCACATCATGGTCAACATTATGAGATTCTTCATTTTCAGACTTTTTTAACCTAGTTTGGGAAGAAAACAAGTGTATTCTATTACATAAAATTACTGCAAGTTCATTGATAATAGCAATTGAATACCATTTCGATGACTCAGAGCAGATGATGCTGAGATGAAGGGCACATAAACACTGGATTTTAAGAGCTGATAAACATGCAAGTACCACAGTTGACCACACAGAGTCGCTCATGAGCACAAGAGAAGGCTTGAAGACGACGTTTAAAAGTGCATACAAGTACTATATTATTGAAATCTATGATAAAATTGTCATTTACATCAAAACATTTCTAAACAAAAGCACAAACACCACAATTTCAAACCAAAGTACAATCTTTCTAGAGTTAACTACAAAAGAAAAACATGAGTTTTTTTTTTCTAATTCATATCAGAAATGTTGACAAGTATAGGGCAAGTTGACTATTATACTTTTATTATGTTATGAATGTTTTATTTTATTATAAATGCTTGTTAACAGTTAAAAACGATTTTGTGTGCAATGTTTTCATGTATTAGAAGAACAATAAATACATTGCAATATATATTTTATATATATATATATATATATATATATATATATATATATATATATATATATATATATATATATAAAGCTTCTTAATGAATTCACAATGACAAGACAGATAAATTATATATTAAATTAAATATTCAAATATTTCTTTAATACAGCCATTTTGGTATATTTTTATATACCACATTAAGCAGTCTTCGCTGTGCTTCTATAAAGTTATAGTTAACAATAAAATAATAAAGAAACAAGTTACATAAATAAATCAATTGTACTTACTGTCCTGTGTCTTGATGTCCTTAAAGAAATGTGAATTGTGAGATTTATCCCAGTCTAACTTCTGCACTCATCAACATCAGTTTTAGCATGTATTTACTGGACGTTTTTACTCATCATGCTGAAACCTTAGACTATCAGTGCATTACAATATTTAGTCATGCCTAAAATCCCACAAATCCCCACAAAGCTCAGTGTCAGTTTATGCAATTGTGACATATTAGGAACATCGTAAAACTTCCTAATTACGTTGCTACAGAGGATTTGCTAATGTCTTATAACCGTGGTCTTACAGCAAGAGTAGTGATGTCTAAATCTGTACCTAAAGAGGTTTTTCTTTAGCACGAAGAAAAGAATCAAAGAAACGGTTGTTAACATCTCTGCAAATTTACAAAATAAAAAAAGAAGCAAGAGTGGAAGGTGCACTTTTATTTGGTCAATAAGTATTCAGTCAATAGTTTGATTTAGTCAACAGCCAATTTAGTGATGATGAACTAAGCTTTGTAAATGAATAAAGTAAAATGTAAAGTAAATTTAAACTATACTTGAAGTTAAATGCTCAATGAGGTTTATTCTTTTAAATGATTTTTAGTCTTAAAAATGATTCAATAGAGCTGGAGCTGAAATAAGTTGCTTTTGTTTTTCACCAAACAATCCTACTATAAGCCATATAATTCTATAAACAATGAAATTAATCAAACAAGCATATAACGTAACACAATTCATATTAGTATGTCGTTTAAATTTATTTTATGATAGTAATGATTAGACTGAACCCCGTATTATTATTATTATTATTATTATTTTTTTTTTATTCCAACCTTAACCAGTTTTTTTCAGGATTTTCCCATGAAGGCATTAAAACCTGCTCAATTGGAAATGACTCCATTTCGGCTCCTAATAGTGCCATTATGACATTGACAGATAATAAAGACATTAATAATCATTAAAACAATCCATTTCTAAGGTGTGACAATCTTTTGTTTTGTTTATGTGTTGCATGAACTCACTTTGCATATGTTTAAAATTCCATAATCGTGCAGGCATTCAAGTGAATCATTTTCCTGTTTCCTAATTGGACATCACTTGCTAAATACTTAAGTGTTATATTTTTCAAACACGCCACTGTGTTTCTTCTGCTGATTGGCCAGCTGCATGTCAAAAATGTATATATAAAGCTTTATTGCTGTCGTTTGAATATCACATCTGAAAACCAAGAAGTCTTTCATACATCTAACGAGAGGTAAGAGGAAAAATTTACATTCAAAAGGTTTAAATTCATGTTTGGAGGTTTTAACTCAAAGCAATTTACACAAGAAATTTTTCTCTTCTATACAGCTCAGCTTGAGAACCATGAAGTCTTTTCTCATTGTTGCCTGTGTGTTTGGGCTCTGTTGTGCAGTGCTAGTGAGTATTATTCTCCTGTTTTCATTTATTAGTTAATTTAAATGAAAAATGAACTAAAGTATTACTGTAATTCTTTGTTAAAATGTAACCATTCAGTGCTTGTTTCCTTAATCCACATGAAGCAAAATGACAAATTCATTTCTTTTTTAGGCAGTGGATGAAGAACATAGAGAGAAGCGCTCATCAAGCCGTTCCTCAGAGGTCAGTTATGGAAATTCTTTTTGCTTTTTCCATTGAATAATATCATTTTTAATAAATATTCAAATCAATTTAGTGTTTATCCCACTTATTTAAACTAAATGAGCTTCACGTGTGCAATCATATGTTACCATCACATGTGAAATATGTATAAGATACAGGCCTGTAGCCAGCCTGGTGGTTCTTTTTTCTTAAAAAGTGTACTTTTTTGCACTTAAATCTCATTTTTGGGTTAATTGTGACCTTAAATTTCTTAACCCTTTAGTGCCATTTTAAGAACTAATTTTAGCTGGATTAGCTTGTCGGATGATCATCAAAACCACAAATTTTGATGTGCCAAAAATGTTTCCTGAAGATATATAATAAATAAATATGGAACAAAACCTTAATTTTAAAATACGAATGTATTACATCATATATCTTTACATCATATATCATTAGAAAAGCGTAGCCTGTTATCATTTATTAGACAAATAACAAACTGAGCAGCACAGTCATCTTTCCTTGGTCAGAATTTGTTCATTTCCATAAAAAACAATTATAACATAATAATAGTAATGTAGAGCTTCAGATTTTTTTTCTAGCCTCTCTTGAAAATTTTGAAAATTCTTGGATAACAACAACAACAACATAAAAATAATTTTAATATGGGCCACTTCTTGTACTTTAGACCATTTCATCATTCAAGTTTTCTTTCAAGAATAAGTTCTAAGATTTAGAATAAAAGTGACCTGTAAAGTCAGCACCAATAGCCTTGTGGTTAAGTACGCGGACATATAGTCCCATGGTGCTCACAGTGACCTAAGTTTGATTCCTGGCTCAAGGTCCTTTGCTGACCCTTCCCCTCTCTCTCCTCCCAATACATTCCTGTCTGCAACCTCTACTGTCCTTTCCAAACAAAGATGTAAAACCCCTAAAATAAATTGTTCTAAAAAAAGTTAAATGTAAAAGTTTTTTTCTATTTAACAACAATAGGTCAATAGCAAAAGTTGACTTCACTTACATCATATTCTGCGTGATCTTAAAACCTTCAATTTCCACAATTTATGATGAGAAAAAAAAAAATTTGTACCAATAGCAAATTCTGGACCTTTGTCAGTGGGGGTTATGTCTTTCCAACCACCTGCACCTACAGGCTACAGGCCTTAGGTATCTAAAATGTGGTTTTGGAACATGTTTTCTGAACGTGTCCCACATATGATTCACATATGTTTTTTTGGTCACATTATTGTTTTAAGGTACAATTGTCACTATTATTAAACCATTAGCTTTTTTGTCACAACATAATAGTTTTAAGTTTAGTCTACTTAATTTTGTAAAAAACGAATAAGCTAACTTAAATCTTTCATGTTGTCCCAACACAATTTGAGGAATGTAACATGTGGAACGTAGCATTTTTTACAATGTAAGCAGGTGATCAGTTAAAAGTTAGAACTGTTACTTAAACTGAAGTTCAGTAAAGGCTGTGCAAAGACATTTAATATGGAAAGTACAGAAATACCCTCTCTGTCTGTCTTGATTTTTAAAAGTAATTATACTGTATGCAGACCACTTTTTAAACATATTTTTATCTATTGATATTCTTACAGAGATGGCATGGAGGATTTCCTCGTCCCTTTCCCAACCCATACTTTCCCCCTTCCCGGCCTCAGCCTCCGAACATCACTGCCCTGCTCAATCTTTTGGCATCCATCTTGGCATCTTCGACCCCAGCACCCACTAGGGCTCCTGCCCCAGCCCCTGCTCGATAAGGCAAAATTCACTATTTAAAACCAAGCATGTGTCCAATTGACATGATACTCTTGTTCTTGGTATATTCAAAATAATAAATAAATAAATGTTGCATCCTAAATTGCATATTTCTGTTATTTCTCTTCTCTCTTTTCAAAAATGTGAACAAAGGGTATGAAAGTGTGCCTATGACTTGGCATATAACGAAACCTTGAGATGAATACAAGTCACTGAATAATTACTTCAACCTATCACAGTATAAAAGGTGTAATTAAAATGTCAGTTGACATGTTGACTACATGTTGACATTTTCACTTGTAGAGTTCGGAACTTACACTACCACACCATAACTGCTTTTGTCATTTCTTTCTAGAGCACAAATGTAGTTTGTTGTTTGAGAAATCAGTAACAGCCATTGTGTGTATTTTTTTTCACTGTAAATAGGATTAAAGAAAAAAATTATTTCAGTTTTAACTATTTAACTTGAACATCAAGTAGGTTTAATGCTTAAATGCTTAGAAAGATACTGTGAATATTTTAGTGAACACTAAAACCCGATCATAAAGATTTTACACAATCTGTTAACCTGCAACAACTTTACAAAGAATTGAATAGCAAAACAAATATGCTGAAAAAGCTGTCTAGTATTCAGGAAGCAATTTAGTGACACTAAAAGAGTCCTTACATGGACCAAATCATGTCTCAGGACTTGCTCTATGCAAGACATACTCAGGAGCGACTTAGGGCGTACTCACACAATGTACAGTTGCCTTGAACTGAGCCTAAGCCTGCTTGTTCCCCCTCCTGTCTACCCCGACGGTTTCTTTAGTTATATCGTTTTAGTGGTTTGGGATGCAGTAACACACAGTCAAATATTTCACCAAACAGATCCGCCACTTTTGACGCTCTTAAACAATCATAAAGTCCTCGTGCTGCAGAAATTAGGAGGTTTGCAGAAGGTACAGCTGTCGTGCAGTGAGGGATTAGCGTCTTTCATAATCTACGACAGTTTGCGTTCATTTAACAGTGAGAATGATTAATAAATCCATTTGAAACAATCCCATAAAAGTTACGTCTTGTCTTCAGCTTCGGGCTGAGGAGCGCTTTGCACTCACGCTACAAGCATACCGCGCCAAAGTCCAAGTCACACCTCTTCCAACTAGGGCCAGGGCTGGCCAAGTGAACCGTGCCTGAGCCCGATTCAGAGCACTCACACTTCTGAAATGATCCAGGAAATGGGCCTGGCACGGTTTGGATAGCATATTGTAAGTACGCCCTTAGTGATATGGGGGCCCTAAGCAATTTCAGGCATGGGGCCCTATCATTGAAACTCAAAACACTCTCTTTCTCTATAGACATTTTTTTCGTAGATTTCTTTTGTTTGTTTGTTTGTTTGTTTGTTTGTTTGTTTGTTTGTTTGTTTGTTTGTTTGTTTGTTTGTTTGTATTATTGTGTTAATAAATGGCATGTTAAATATATATTTCAAGTAGAACCTTTATCTTCTTATTGCAAAAATAAAACTAAAAGGTTCCACTATTCATGGGGCCCCAGGTTTTGAAAAGACGTAATAACATTAAAATCTTAATGTTATAGATTGATTCAGTGTACGAATTACAGGGGGGTGGGGGGAGAGTTATGTACCCCTAATGAACCCGTAATGACCTGGGTATGTACCCGTAATGAACTTGGGTTACAAATGCATGCAAATGCATGCACCAGGTAAGTTGACTATAACAAACTGCCTCCAAATAATTGTATTAACAACGGACAGGTTGTTTCACTCTGCAACAGCTGTCAGCTAAGTTACGTTCTGACTTATTGCTTTTAAACAGTTAAATTTTTTGGAATGATTCAGTGTTTCTGAATGTGAGATTTTAAAACAAAAACATTTTTAAAACTGAACTTAATTCAGTGGTGATTATTATGCATATTGTGTTTGATTATCAAAAACAAGTCTTTCACATTTTTTACATGTAACATTACCAGTAGGCAAAGATATTTGAAAAATGTAAAATCTGTGGGTAAAAAAAATATATTGAGCAAGTCGTCTAAAACATTATCGAATAAGGTTCTTGGCAAGGCAAATTACTAATCAAAAATTGTGTTTTGATGTATTTACAGTATAGGAAATTTACAACATTTCTTCGTGGAACATGTGGTCTTCAATGTTCAATATTGCAATGCATTTTGGCCTATCACAAAAAAAAAAATCTGTGCAACATAAGATTATTTTCCAGCATCACTAGTATTAACATATGGTAATTCCTTCAAATGAACAAGTCATTAGCCGCATTACCACTGTCGAGCCAGTGTGAGCCAGGGCTTTTATCAGGCCGGGTTGGGCCAATCACCCATGAGCTTGAGCTATGAGGCCTGAAATGATATCGCATTTCGACTGTCAGCCCAATAACTCGCAGCGCGGCATGCAACATAAAGCTCCACGAATCAAATGTCACACACCTTTTTGATACCTTTTGCTGATATAATGCATAATAATAACTCTCAAATATAACTTCAATTTCCAGTAACATAAAGACAGAAAGAATGACACAAACAGAAATGCTAATGTTATTTAACACAGATTATTTATTAATTCTCATTTTTTAGAGACCAAGAGCAAAACTAATAAGACTTTTGATCCAGGAAAATAAATGCCATCCCATAATAGCAAGATTCAATTCTGTCATTGGTTAAAAGGTGCTCTGAATTATTTTTTGATGCATTTTTTTAATTAGAAGGACAAGTGCACCCATAATCATATGTAAGGATAGAGCTGTGATTTTTATCTGCCTCCAGGGGGAGCAGGAGCTGGAGCAGGAGCTGGAGCCGGAGCAGGGGCCGGGGCAGGAGCAGGAGCAGGAGAAGCTGCCAACTGTGCTAACAGAAATGGCAGGAGGCTGAGGAGAGCATTATTGTTCGGGAACTGAGGCAGAGGCAGTGGCTGAGGCTGAGGCTGAGGGATGAATGGAGGAAAGTATGGATACGGATAAGGACGCTGAAATGCGTTGAAGAAGCCTCCAGGCTGTCTCTGTAGAAGATAAACATGTAAAATTATTATATATCTATTTTAATACATACATTTTAAAACAGGTTTTCTATTTTATGTTTTATTTCAGTTTATTTACGGTTATGAATTGCATTATGGGATGTTGATATCAGCTCTGTTGACGTTTGATGTTAAAATGTTCACTCTTGTGATCTTGTTGTGAAAACTATGGCACTTGTCAACTTTTGTCAAATTTGCACTTTACGTTCTGCTATCAAAAAAGTGAACATATTGGAATGGTATTTCTTATTGGAACAACCCTTTTGATGATATGAAATATATGTTTAATCACTCACTCAGAACATTTTTTAAGAAATAAAATTGAAGAAATATCTTTTCCAGTTATTCATAGATTTTATCCAGTTAAAAAGATTCAAAAATGACATTGACGTCTCTTGCTCTTTCTGTGAGACTTCTTCTGAGTCTGTTGCTCACTTGTTTTGGTAATGTCCCTTTGTTAAATCTTTCTGGCCTGATGTTAATTAACTAAAAGGTTTGTGGTGATTTTTCCTCAAGCTTCCTTAATCAAACAACATATTGTTTGGGGTTTTATATCAAAGACAATTAATTCCTTAATTCAAATTCTTGTATAAACCTCATTTTATTTATTGGAATTTTTTTATAAATGTAAATATACTCAATGTAAGCCAAATTTTGTATTTTTTAAACAAGTATTGGAAGTGTACTTAAAAACTATCATGGAGTCTCATAACAAGAAAGCAATTACAACTTAAAAAACTTGTGCTTTATTTAATATTCTGCATTAATTTGCATTATTTTTATGCGCCCTCATTTATTTATTTACTTTTTGTTTATTGTTTTCTTTCTCATTGTCTTTCTTTTGCTTTACCCTTTATTATATTTCTTTAAAATTGTCACATTTCTCTTGTTGCAAAAAAGTAATATTTGTGTTGCATGTGTGATTAAAAAAAGAACATTTGTGAATGGGTTATTTGTTTGATTAAACTCAAATTATTAAATTAGCTACAGCTAGAAGTCTTTTTTTTTGCTATAGTTTGCATTAAACTACATTACAATGGCTACCTAAATTTGTCTAATCCGAAGTTTAACACAACATATTTTGAGGCATTTTTGTTACTATTAATCATTAGTTCCCAACTGACAATCTAACTCTTTGGCTAAAATAGTTTCTTTTTTAATATACGATCATCAGTATTTTCCTCTTTTTGATTTTTGGTGAACAGTCGAAATAAATAATCAAAGCTAGCACATACTGATTATCTAATTCACAGAAAAAGTATATTACGTTTGCACATTTTATTTATCAGTAATATCAAATTTTCAATTAGAGAGGATTTACTGACATCAGAGGTGTAAAGTAACAATTTACAAATACTCAAACTACTGTAATTGAGTAGTTTTTTCTCAGGAATTGTAATTTAGTAAGTAGTTTTAAAGATGTGTACTTGTACTTTCCCTTGAGTACATTGTTAGTGGTGTATCAATACTTTTACTCCACTATATTCCTTCAACCTGCAGTCACTTTTAACAGTGACTTTTATAGACATTTTAGTATTCTGAAACCAAATATTGCATAATAAATAATATATAAAGAATTAAGTCCGTAAAGAAAAAAGTTTATTAGCAGGTTTTTGTAATTTCCAACCCACACTGTAAAAGTTATCTGTAAATTAGCAGTTTTCTGTATTTTGTGATTTATGTTTTTGATTTTCCCCATTTATTTATGCTTATTGCATTATCAGACTTAGATCTTTTTTCTAACATCTTTTAATCTCGGAAAGTTTGAAAAAGGAACTTTTATTGACTTTTTATTAGTTTAAAGTGATATATTTGTTGTGTTGTATATTTATATAGTTATTTTACAAACGTATTTCTCTATGTATTATTTATTATACATTTTTATGTCGATCTACTGAAATGTCAATTAAGGTCACTGTAGAATTGAATTTTCAGCATCAAAAGTCCCCAGAGCAGAAATCAGGATCCCATACTGTGATTCACAACAGTAAATAAATGGAAAACACTTAAAAATACAAGAACTGTTAAATAACAGATCTTATCCAGTGCAGGCAGAACACCACTTTAAATAAACTATTAATATGTCAATTATTGTCCCTTTTTTAAACCTTTCAACCTCAAAAGTTGATTGAGGAAATATCCCATAATGCAATTGAATGAATCTCAAAATACAGGAAATTTCATTTCAATACAGTTCATTTACTGATGTATTTTTTTAAAGTGTAGTATTCTGCATATTTTAGTTTACTAGTTTGTTTGTTTGTTTGTTTGTTTGTTTGTTTGTTTGTTTGTTTGTTTGTTTGTTTGCATTCCTTATGATTATTTTTGCACTTATGGGAAGTTTTTTTACAAAGTATAAAAAAATTCTTCTGAGACTCACCTCTGAGGAACGGCTTGATGAACGCTTCTGTCTATGATCTTCATCCTCTGCCTGAAAATAGACGTAGTTATCATTTTGGATCTTTCAGAGTCATATTGTTTGTAAAAATAAGTTACAAAATTTAAAAAAAAATGTAAAATAATAATATAATGCTACTTACTAGCACGGCACAGCAGAGTCCAAACACAAAAGCAGCAATCAGAAAAGACTTCATGGTTCTCAAGAGGATCTGCTCTGATCTATTATGGAGAAAACAAGCATGTAAAATGTGCATAAATATATACGCTGTTAATCAATTCAAATGAAACTTTGCTTCTCACCTTTAGGCCAGATGTATGAGAGATTTCTCAGTTTTCAGATGTGATATTGAAACGGCAGCGATGATGCTTTATATATACATTTCTGACAGGCAGCCGGCCAATCAGCAGAAGTAACACAATGGCATGTTTGGAAAACGCAACACTAAGAATGTAGCAAGTAGGACTTTACTCAACAATTGGGAAACAGGAAAATGATTCACACGGTTGTCTCCTTTCTTATGGTACAGTATATTAATTATAAACATGCTTGCATGCAACACAAACACAAAACAAAAGATTAAGGCACGCCTTAGGGCTGGATGCAACTGGGAAGTATTTCTTTATATAATAAATGTCATGTTATCTGTGGCATTCAAGAAATCTTATGAAGTAAGGTTTTTGGAATTGCTTTATTCCTATAAAGATTGGAAGGGAAAGTCTATCATATTAATTTGATATTATGATGATAAATATGAGCAGGGAAAAGCACTCTCGTATTAATATATTTATTTATTAATTAATAAATAAACCACTCGACCTTTCGGTGTATATTTGTGTGCACATTTCTGAGCGGATTATACTTTTTTAAAAGGCAAACTTTCTCAACTTACACTGTAAACCAGGAGTGCCCAACCTTGTTCCTGGAGATCTACCTTCCAGCAGATTTCAGTTGCAACCCAAATCAAACACACCTGGCTTTAATTATCAAGTCCTGTTCAGCTTCTAATTAATTGGTTCATGTGTGTTTGATAAGGGTTTGAGCTGAACTCTGTACGAAGGAAGATGTCCAGGAACATGGTTGAGCACCACTGCTGCAAACAATTGCTGTAAAATCTACAGTATTACTGGCAATTTTGGTTGCCAGTAATACTGTAAGATTTACAAGTGCACTGTACAATCATTGTGCTGGTGTTTTACAGCACAAACTTATCATTTGCAGTGTGCTTGTAAATTTAACAGTATTACTGGCAATTTTTACAGCATTACTGGCAAAATTTAAAAGCGTACTGTAAATGAACAATTTAAACTGTGCTGTAGTTTTACAGCACGGTTGTAACTTTTAATTTACAGTGCACTTGTAAATGTTACAGTATTACTGAAATTGCTAGTATTACTAAATCCTACAGCAATTTCTTATTACAGTGTAGGTGAAAAATGGAAAAACTTTAGAAATCTTAAGAATAAGGGGTTATTTGTTGTTGTCATATGTAATTCAAACATTCATTTCTAAAAAAAAATATTGTTTCTTTTATCTGAGCAACATAGTACATTTCAGCACACTGCATTTTAAGCTTTGCTGTCACAGTCCTAATGCAATTGCAAATTAGAGTACCTAACATGTCATCGGAAATGTCTGCAACAGACTACAGTTTTATGAAATGTACTTCAACACGCATTTGACTGCAATTTCTGGGTAAATTTACTGCTATGGATGTTAATGATAATGACATTAATGACATTTACAAGGACATATTTTCAATGAATAAAGAATTACTCATGCAGTCATTTGCACAACACTAAATAAATACCATTACACAATTTAACAGTGTTTATAATTCATATTAAATTTGCCTCATCTAGCTATCTCCATATGGACAACTTTCTAGAGGTCAGTTCAGTTCCACAAAAGAAGTAAAAGCAATGTGAAATCAAGGTACAATTATGTGGCCGCAGTGCACTTTTCTTTTGTAAACACTACTGATTGGATTTAGGTCAAACCTCGCCTTTTTGTGATGGTGTACAGGAAAACCTTGTAACTGAAATTTACAGTAAAATGTACCCCAAGCAACGCATTTTAAATTCACAATAATGTAGACAATCTAGTGGATTTGTCATCTGAAATGTGCAATGATACCAAGAGCAACATATTTTACGATTCAAGATGTAGACTTTATAGAGCAGGAACAGTGCTCAGCATATAAACACCACTCGAAAAATCTATATTTTAAATTCCATATTTAATTGGAAAATATGGATTATTATATTTGTGCATATACATTAGATTAGTCAGTACTGAAGCCAAATCTGGAGCTTTTCTAACAAAATAATAAAATTTTGCTTGAATTTATTTGTTGTATGTTTCAGTTTCTAAATATGTTTGGTGACTAAAATAGTATTTTAATAAATAGCTATATTCATGCATTCATGTTCTTGTCGGCTTAGTCCCTTTATTAATCCGGGGTCGCCACAGCGGAATGAATCGCCAACTTATCCAGCACATTTTTACGCAGCAGATGCCCTTCCAGCCACAACCCATTTCTGGGAAATAAATAGGCTATATCTGTTTATTAAATCTGTTTTGTTTAAATGCACCAAAATACTAATATCTAATAATTGACTATATTCATTTTTAAATTGGGGTGTAAATCTGGGCTATATGGGTCACAATAAAAAATAATTTTTCATCAGCAACTACAACAAGTAACACTTGGCTAGCTTTTGCAAGATTTTTATGAGTCACAATATTAAGGCACATAAATGACATATTAGCCAAGAGCACCAGAATCCCTCAACACCTACACTTGTTTAGTCATATTGAAAGTACCAAATATTCGGCATGTAAGATTTGTATTTGTTGTCACTGTCACATTTGATCTTCATTCTTTCTTCAATTTTCTAATGTAAATCAACGATTCATGTTTTGTTACCCATCCAGAAGAGCTGATATATGGCCATATACACAAAATTAGAGCTAATATATTGTATATAACGGTCACACTTTACAATAAGGTTGTATTAGTTAATGTTAGTTAACGCATTTACCAACATGAACTAATAATGAACGATACTTGTACAGCGTTTACTAATCATAGTTCAGCATTTACTAAGGCATTATTAAAAATCCTAATTTAGGCTTGTTAACATTAGCTAATGCACTGTGAGTTAACAAACTAACAATGAACAATTGTATTTTCATTATCTAGCGTCAACTAATTTGAACCAATACTGCAATACAATCTAATACAAAATCTAATGCAAAACTAATACAATCTTATTGTATAGTGTTATCTATATAACATATTTGTACATATTTTGACATACATGAAAAAATATATATTTTTCATATGTGAAATCTAAACATGAAGTCATACGTCACATATAATTGACATAATCAATTATCAGCTGTCTGTGGTTGTATATTTGTTTGGTATTTATTTGGTTTTAACTTTATTTATTTAGTTTTATTTTTTTATATTTTTGAATATATATATCAGCTCTTTATGATAATAAAGAGTTGTTTTTTTGGAGTATGCTGTTGTATTTCGCACTGTCATCGTATTCGCACTGTCTGTATTTTGTACTGTCTGTATTTTGCTCTGTGTTTCTGTACTGATCTGTTGATCTGTTTTTGTACTGTCTGGAGCCAGCACCTAAGCTTTTCACTCATAATAGCACACATGCTGCTGATTGTGTGACAGTAAAAGTGATTTGATTTGATTTGATGCATTAGGAACAAAATTAAGTCTTTCATGATGTTTAGTTAAGTTTTATAGCTCAAATACAATAAAAACATTAAAAATACTGATTCACATCCAGCCATTTTATGAAATCAACCTTGTTTTATTGGTAACAAACACCTGAAGTACAATGATTTTCAATAACAAATGGACAATTTATTTATTGCACACATTATTTTATTTGTTTTGTCTTTGTCTAGTAATTTTTTTGTCATTTTTTGTTTCAAATGTTGACCAACATTGCTAACGAGTTGTTAATGGTCTGAGGGTTGGCATCGGGGTGTCAATGGTCGGATCAGAGGTTGAAGTTGGCATTGTGGGAGGGACTTGGGTCACGACACTTCCAGAGATAAGGGTCAGCAGCTGAATTAACTGCTCATAAGTCAACTGAGGCCAAAAGGGGGCGAAAGCTCCAATCTGTGAAGAAAAATGATAGCAGATACATTCTATCAGTTACAACAATATACTCTTTTGTTCAATTAAACATTTTGGTCGCACTTTATTTCGATGGTCTGTTTGATGAATTTAAGTTTAATTGCAACTAATTCTTATTAAATTATAAGTAGACTGTTAAATTGGGGTAAGGGTTAGTTGATGTACTTGCAAAGTTTCTTATAGTCGGGTAAATGTTTGTTGAAGGAGCACTATCAACAGATATTAAGCAGACAGTCTACTAATACTCAAACGGACCATCAAAATAAAATGTTACCAACATTATTTACAAACCTCATCAGAATCCGAGTCGGACAAAGAGCGAGCCAGACGCTGATGAACTTCAGCCTGTAATTGCAATAATAATCATTAATGCCAAAGTCACATTATTAACACACAACTAAAACTGTCACTAAAGGGATAGTTCACCCCCCGAAAATTAACATTTCTTGTTGTTGAACTTCAAACTAGATATTCTAAAGAATGTTGAGGAGAAAACAGCCACACACAAAAAACATGGAAGTTAAAGGCTGTTTTTTCCAACGTACTTCAGTATATCTTCATTTGTGTCCAACAGAGGGAAGAAAAAATTAGGAAATCATGACAGATTTTCATTTTTGGGTGAACTGTCCCTTTAAAATGTAAAAGTAGTGTATTTAAACATACCTGGAAAGTCAGGCCGACAACACATGCGAGTAAGATTATTGTCTTCATGTTTGACAAAGATGATTCTCCAATGCAGCAGGAATGTATTTTTAGGTAGAATATGTTTTTGCTCTGATGCCTAGGGCATATAACAATAATTTGAACTTCCTTTATGATTTAAATACAGTAATCACACCCCTCGGTTGTGTTGACACCTCCATTGCTGATTGCAGCTACTGATCGCACCAGACAGGTCAATCCGAAAACATTAGAACAGCTTAAGACGACAAATTAGTTTAGCAATCAGTAAATCCTCTTCCTACATGTGGCTTTTTTTAATCTGTCTGACTGATATTGCAATATAGGAGTCGTAAGAAAGCCAATAGGTGATTTTGAAATGGTGATGAAATGAAATGCTTTACATATTGTTATCACTTATATGACAACAGTATTGGTATTTTTAGTTATGACAGACAATTTCTGTAACGATTGATAAGCCTTTTTGGTCAAAACAAAGGAATCTAGTGACTATTGCT